TCAGACTACTCGCGAAACATTTCCTCAGAGCGTTCGAGGGCAGCCTTCAATTTGCGGGACTTGGCCGCGAGAGCCGCCTTTTCCGCCTCCAACTCTCTGACCCGGTCCATGGAGTTTGATCCTTCCCCCGCGAGGACAACTGTCATCTCAGCCATTTTTACCACCCCGACCATACTGGCAGCGAGGTGCTTCCTCCGACCTTCCTTGTCAAGCCGCCTGATGATGTCGGCCTCGTTGTCGGATACGGACAAGGGAAACCCCTCGAAGAAATCCTTCTCCACGAAGCAAGATGGCAGGCCGGAGGCACGGGAACCCGCACCTCCATCAGTCACTTCGACCCCATCATCTGGTCGACTCCGCTTCTTGCTGATCAGAGCAGATTGGCGCTCGGCGTCCGGGGATCCCAGAGACCCACTAGATCCTTCCCTGCCCGAGTCAGGAGTCGGGCCCATGCGCGTGGCTTGTTGCAGCCTCACCAATCTCTTGCTGATTTTCTTGTCTTGAGTTAGCTTCAACAACCTCTCGCGACGTTCTGCCATGTGACCTGCAAAGGAAGTGTACTTGGGTTAGCTACATACATTAAAGAAAACAAATAAAGAGCAACGTCAATAGAGCAAAGAAAGAAACCTAAGAGTTCTACGGCTTGCCCGTAAGATTGGCACTCGACGAGCGCCTTAGTTTTGATCGGACGCGCCTAGAACGTCTGATAGCCATCCTCATCGAGAACTTCGTCCCCTTCCCTCGTAACCCACCGAGCAGGAAAGAAGCCGTCGACAAACTTGTTTAGGACGCCATAAGCTTCCTCATCCTCAACACGCATACCCCCAGCAAGAGTGTGGTAGTATCCTAGACCATGGTCATAATGGCCCGAGCACCAGTGAATGGGAAACCTAGAGACTCTCCCAATATCGGGGTTACCCTCAACATCCAAACACGGCTCCCCATCCTCGTCCACCACAGCAGCCGGTTCGAACATCAAATATATGGCTGTCGAGGTAGACGGTTGCAAAATATACCATTTATCCTTAAAATCTCGCACATAATCCATATACATCCTAAATAGTCTCTTCAACTACTTAAGGGACACCCAGTTATGCTTCCCTCCTCGGGACTGCCGCTGTAAGTGAAAAACCCTGAAGAACAGGGGGATCGTTGCCCCAATCCTCAGGAAGCGACAGGTGAGTTCGAATGCCCGGAGAAAGGCAATCACATTAGGATGAATTTGGGAGGGGGCCAGGTTCAGATGGTTGAATACTACGACCTGGAAGTCATTGAAGGGAAACAGGAGCCTGAGATCTCTAAAGACGATCTCGTACATGGGAAATGCATCATGTGTGAACTCCAAACAGATACAGGTGTCGCTCGTCGGCCTCATAATCTTGAAGTTCCTTCGAAATCCCTCTTGATCGCCGCCATACTCGACGACAGTGTAAGCTTGTCTATTGGAAAGGCTGTAGATCGAAGCTATTCCCCGGGGCTTAGCACCGACCCAATCTAGAGTGGGGTCATCGACGGTGTCATCCAGGGGGATAGTTTCCTCTGTTGTGCTTGTTTCCTTGATGTCGTTACACCCTAAAGACTCAGGAATGTCGGCCATTTACCTGCAAAGTACAGGAAACGGTGAATTCGACAACAAATCTGCTTGTCTGCCACAAAGACGGGGAGAAGTAAGCAACACTTAGACCGAGTCTACGATCATTCACACGAAAAACGGGAAACAAGTGGACCTCGACAAAACACCAAACTCAGCGGCGGACGTGTATCAATCATGAACGGCGCAAGCACATCATGAATATCACAAGCGAAGGATGAATCCCGCGACCAAGTTTATAATGTTTTCTGGCCCGGTACAAGAGTAATACGGGGAAAACTAGCCTACATACTAGGATGAATCTCCCGACCAGGTTCATAAATCTACTAGCCAAACACATGAGTATCGCGGGCACGATCATAAACCGTATGCCTAAACTTACGAATATCTCGGAGACAACCATGAATCAGGCGCCCAGGGCGCTTAAATTTATCGGGCACTACCCCCAGACACGAGATTCTACCGCTAAAATGCCATCAAATCTATCTACAACGCGAGATATCAAAAGGAGAAAACACTTACTTGAGAGAAGAATGAAGAACGGCGGTGGTGGAGATGATCAGACGACTAACGCCACGGCGGTCTTAGCGACGGTAGGAAAATTCACAAGATTGAGAACAGAGAAAATATGAGAAGCGGGAAGAAGTGAGAACAAACTATGGGCACTGGAACCCTATTTATAGAGATGACATGGAATATGAAATGTCGCATCGGGGAACCACAAACCGCCCCCATCTTCGACGTCTACTCGCATAGACAATGATGGCCCTATTCCCTAGGTCGGCATTGTGGTTTCTAAGAGCCGCACCGCGTGTCTAACTGAGGCGTCACCATCTCCCCACAAAAGTTCCTCGAACACTCCTCGATCGCTGCACGGGGAAAATCACAAACCGGGCGATGTCTTTTCTCCCCGGTTGAAAGCCCCCCTGCATCGCGCAAACGAGTCTCTCGAAAGAACAAACTTTAGTCAAGTCATAACTCCCGTACCAAGAGCAACGACTTGGGGGGGTCCTGTTCTGAACTGGGCCTTCCCGTGGCCCAATCACCAGTGAGGCCCAATCCAAGCTTTGCCACGTACCATACTGAGCATTAGATTCCCCGGCACACCCCGATCATAGGTGACCGGTCGAATACGACTGCGCCCGCCAGTGTCCGCGAAGAGCGTCCCCGGCGAGGGCCGTCCCCGACGAGGAACATCCTAATCCAAGCCCTGCTCGAGCACCCTCCTCGTAGGGCATACTCTCAACCCCTCCGGACATCTCAGAGTCCTCAGGATCCCAGGAAGATCGCGTCTTCACCCTCCCTATTCTGCAGAGAGCATCATCCAGGTAGGGGATCACGTGCAGGTCCTCACTACACACGTAGAACCTGGCAGTCCCTTTGTTGGGCCTGTTTGGTCAGCCCAATAAAGGGACTTTGGCCCAGCGCTGGGGACTATAAATACCCTCTATTTCGAGAGGGTCAGATATTCATTTCATACACACCAATATACTTGCTTGCCTGCTCATTCTGTCTCTCACTTTGTCATCGGAGTGTCTTGCAGATACCCCCCCCCCATCTTCTTCAAATTTAGTTCGAAGACAACTGTGACGGTCCAATTCCGATTAGGTACGATCACATACCGTATGAAGAAAGAAGGAAGAGTGGAAGATGCAGTGTAGAGGAATGAGATTAATAGAGCGTCAAACAACTTTTATAAATGACTGTAGAGAAATTTGAAGGATTGTGAATGTTTCCAAGATTAAATTCAAATTTTTTAGGGTTTCCCAATCACGTGAATGTTTCCAAGGATTGGAATAAATCTGATTATTTGATTGTTGTTTTCAAATACGTGGAAAAATGGAATGGAATAAATAGTGAATATTTAAAAATGGTATAATTTCTAAGTAATGATCATGCATTTGTAATGATATTTAACTAAATGAAAAACTATCTATAAATTGGCTTAGTTAGGTCATTTAGGAAAATTTTCAAATGCCCATCCATCGTCGAAGTCGTCTGATGCTCCTCCATCATCGTTTTCATCCTTGGCTACCTTCACATCCTCGGTTACAACTTTTGTTTCAGTAGCCATAGGTAAATCTGAATCTGTAATTAATTCAAACCCAAAATTATCAATTTGTAAGGAGAGTGAAGAAAAAGAAAAACCTTAATTTGGTAAAAGAGAAATAAGGCGTGTCGTTAAATTAACAATTTATATCACAAATGTAATATTGTAAGTTGAAGAGTAAAACGATATCAAACACGATATCAATCATAATGTAAATATCAGTAGAATGATTTTAAAAAATATAAAAATCATGTGATTGATGAAAAACAGAAAAGTGGAAGATGAAGGAAGAAGCATACCATAAGAAGGAAGAATGAAGAGTGGAAGATGGACTGTAGAGGAATAAGATTAATGGAGCGTCAAAGAGCTTTAATAAATGACTGTAGAGAAATTTAAAGGGTTGTGAATGTTTCCAAGATTAAATTCAAATTTTGTAGGATTTTCCAATCACGTGAATGTTTCCAAGAGAATGGAATAAATCTGATGATTTAATCGTTGTTTTCAAATACGTGGAAAAATGGAATGCAATAAATAATAAATATTTAAAAATATTATAATTTTTAAGTAATAACTATGCATTTATAATAGCATTTAAGTATATGAAAAAACTGTCTATAAATTAGTTTAGTTAGGTCATTTAGGTAATTTTTGTGGTAATCCATTTTTATATATTAAAAGTAGATATTTCTAAACATACATATATTCTCTCAAAAACATAATTAAATTTTCAATGTAGAATTTAGATTTGACTTTACCAATTCCTCAACGTAACTTCTTAGATGTGTGAATTGTTCACGGCGACCACCTTGAATAAACTCAATAATTCTTTAATTGCCTCTCTAAGTTTTGGTCATTTGTCAATTTAATGCTTCACTTTTGAACGTATTGAGAAGAACACAAAGGTTTGGTGACATATTAATGGTTTCAAGCATGGTCGAACACGATGATGAGCTCGTATGAAGATAGTGATTTCGAGCACAGTCAAACACTATGATAAATTGGGTTTCGAGCACAATGGCAAACTAGGTTTCGAGCACAGTCAAACACTATGATAAATTGGGTTTCGAGCACAATGGCAAACTAGGTTTCGAGCACAGTCCAACATGAAGGTTTCCAAGACGAGCCAATTTCGATTTTAATTTTGGCTTAAAGTTTGAGAAAAGTTTCAACTTAAATTGAAAGTTCGGGGAAAAAATTAACATACTTCAAATTACATTTTTTTGGCACTTAGAAGCAAAGAAACAAACCAACCATACATATCTTACATTATTTTGCAGAAAACAAACTAGTAGATTACCACAACATTAGACATAGCATTATAGCATAATAAAAACATAATGAACACGAGAAGAAGTAGCATTAATGGAATTGCATAATGCCTCTAAGAGCGTTCCAATCATCATGGATTCTCTTGACTCTACCACCAAGTAAGTGTCCACCAATAGGATGTCCTTGATCAATATTAACGCATGCATAATATTGTTGTTTGAAAATATAAGCTTCATCATTCTTATCAGATTTAAAAGCCGCATCAATTCCATTTTCAAAAACAGTTCCAACCAAAGTCTTAAAGCCAGTGCGAATGTAATGATTAGCATGAATACTATCAGTGTGATAATCCATAAGAGCATAAGCATCTCCTTTAAACAACAAAACACGTGTGTTGAGTGTCCTAATAGCAGCATCTATTCCATGTTCAAACGCTGTTCCTCGTAGACATGTAAAGACGTTTGTGATTTTTGTTGGACCTCTATGTATTTTAGCATGATGTGTGGAATGTGGAGCGTAGTCTATTCTTGCGCAATGGTTTCCAGAAAAGATGTATGCTTCATTGTGTTGAGTTTCAAAGGCACAGTTGATCCCATTTTCAAATGGAGTTCTAGCAAGAACTGGAAAACCAGCTACAATGTGTTGTGGACCCTTCAAAATGCGGTCCTTTCTGCCACCTGGTGCATAGTTCAAAACTACATATTTATCATCAACAAAGACGAAACATTCGTTATGCTTGGATGAACGAAAAGCAGCACCTATACGAGAGAGTGGCATCTTTGGAATGGTTTTAGTTTGGTTGTGTTGTGTTGTGAATATTTTATAGAGTTAAAATGTAATATGAACACAGAAAAATAAATTTGAAATTCATGTACAAACCGTGTTTTAATAATGCACACAGAAAAAACGTTTTAATTCTATTCTTCTTTTATTTTTGGTATTGATTTAATACCAATGCATAAAATAATATTAATGGGTAAGAAAAAATGTCGTTAGTTACATATTTAAATTTGAAATTCCACATAAAATATCGTCAAAGAACTAGATTTTAATAATCAAAATAAATATGTTGATTTTATATAATATTGCTTTCAAAGATACAAATAAAAAATAAAAAAAGTTATAGTTTATTATAACAAGTATTTGAATATACATGGAACATTTTCCTTCAAATAATTGTAAGAAAAATATGATAGTTAAAATGAATACTTCATTAAAATTTCGACCAACCCTCTGCACATATCACTACAATGCATTAAAATACCATCAAAGTTGAGTGCATCCTCATCAAGAAAAAGGACTTTTTCTTTCATATGTAACTATCTCTGGCAGAGAAAATACGCAAGCTTACAACTCCAACTTGTATATATGGTGTTGTTTTCTTTCTTTCGTTTTCACACTCTTCAATTATTACTATATTGTTTGGACTTTAGTATTGATATTTAATACTGTCACGAGCCATTGAAAGTACATTGTTATATGTTGTTTTTTTGTGTGCTAGGGCCAAATTATCAACTTTTTTTACTTTTATAAAAAAAAACTTGTGGGGCGGTAAATATATTTTTAATCATTTAAGTTGGATGTTTCTTTGCATTAAGAAAAGATAATAGTTTATATATTAATTAAAATAAAGGACCAACTTGTAATAAAATAAACATAAGACCAATTTATTACATTAAAATCACTTAAAAAACCTCTGAAATATTTTTGCCAAAATATTATTATAAATTAAATTAAAAAAAATCTATCTTTTTAAACCTTAAACAAACGAAGCTTGATGATGCTTTGCAAAACATCTTTTACTTTAAAAAAGCGTCTACATTTATTATCAATTGCGATCAGAGTTCAAAGTATCTGCATAATAATAATCAGGTAAACACATGTCTATATTGTTTTCGTTGTTTTCGGATTTTAAAATATTTGTCACCGAAGAAATTACCAGGTTGAGTCGCGGACTAGGTCGCTCTCTTTAAGACATTTCGCGATACTGCTCAAAATTATGTAAAGTAGTCGAACTACCGCGTCGCCTCCAGGATAAAACAACTCAGTTTTATACTGTACGATTACTACTTGCATGATAGATAACCAGTCTAGAAATACACCCTCTGATGGTACAAGACCATTCAAATATGGTATCAACATCACTCGTAATATCTGGTACAAAGACCAGTCATAATAATTTCTCAAACAAAAAGAAACTCAAATAATTCTCCAAAGAGAAATTAATAATGGTCATTTGACCACTCATAATAATTTCTCCAACAAAGAAATTCAAAAAATTCTCTAAAGAGAATCCAAAAGATTAAACTTGAAAATTTCTCAACTCAAATGAGGAGAAATTAACATGATTCTTTAAAGAGAATTCAAGAAAATACTCTGAAAATTCAACGAGTTGGAAGAAAGTGAAAGAAGATGGCGCTTCGACAATTCGAGAGAGACAGAGTTATGAGAGTGAGGAAGGAAAAACTAATAGAATAGTTTTTTATGTGATTTGGAATAAAACATGTGCACTCCTTATATAGTGAAGTAAGATAGTTAATATTTCTCACATGAGCAATGTGGGACTAAATGGTTTTTTCAACCAAAAAGATATTCTAACAATGTGGGACTTGAGAAATTTTTAAATTCAACATATTGGAACATGGACATGTTCCAACAATCTCCCACTTGAATTTAAAAAATTGATTTTAGAAGTAACGTCAAACGTTTCTAAGATTGTGCATAAACAAAGGTGTCTACGACTTGAACCTCTGCATAGCAAGTAGGATTCCAATTCAACAAGAATGACACAAATGTCTTAAACTCTATCTCAGACATCAAACCCGCACATAACTTTTTCTTAAGGTGTATTCTAATAGCTCGTGCTTTAATGGCCCTGCACGTGTATCCCAGTTTAATGAAGGCTCTAGAATTCTGCCTCGAAATTCCATAGGAACCGACCTAAGTTCCACAATCACATAAGTGAGTCTATCAAGAGTACTCCTGTAGCCTAGGTACTCCCTCATACAGAGTATAAATCTCATTAAAAGTTTATATTATCTCATCCTCTTATTACTTCATGATTCATGCTTTACTTGCATGATCATCTCATATTACTCACAACTTATTATTACCAATTGAACCTATTTCTTGGGATCTCCAATCATTTAGGTCGGGTTACCATCATGAGCAACACATTTTCCTATAGGCATTAGTCCCATCTTATATGATGTATTATAGACTTTCTCTCTAGCTAATCCTTTCATCAAAGGATATGCTAAATTTTCATCAGTGTGTACATGATCCACTCTTACAGCTCCTTTAGAGATACAATCTCTAACAGTGTTGTGTTTTCTTCTTATTTGACGTCTTTTACCATTATAATAATGGTTCTCAATTTTTGTAATAGTTGTTGCTATCGCAGTAGATCAACACAACTGATATATGTTTTTCCCATAAGGGAATCTCAGTGCAAACATCTTAACCAACTTGCTTCTTCACTAGCAGTCACTAATGTTATATTCTCAGGATAGTATGTTTCTTTGATTTCCAAGATACAATTCCTCTAGCTATATTGAATACATAGCCACTAGTTGCTTTGGAATCATCTGATAAGGTATTCCAATCTGCATAATTGTATCCTTCAGGTACAATAGGAAATCTCTGATTATGTAAACTGAAATTCATGGTCCCTTTAAAGTACCGTATGACTCGCTCAATAGCTTGTCAATGTTCATTACTCGGTCTACTAGTAACCCTCACAATAATCCCACGACATATGCAATGTCAGGTTTAGTACAATCAATGAAATACCTAAGACTTCCAATGATGCTCGCATGTTTTGTTTGTCTAACACTTTCACCAGTGTTCTTAAACAACTTCACGCTTAGATCATTTGGTGTGCTCACAGATTTACTGTCAAAGTGATTATATTTCTTTAAGATCTTTTTCACATATTGTGATTGATCCAAAGAAATTCCTTGCTCGGATTTTGTGATCTTGATACCAAGAATCACACTCACTTCTCCGAGGTCTTTCATATCAAAGTTGTTGCACAACAATGATTTCATATCATTAATGGCCTGAATGTTTGATCAAAACATGAGTAGATCGTCTACATATAGACATATGATAGTGCAAATACAATTCTCAAATTTGTAATAAACGTATTTGTCACTTCCATTCACTTTGTACACATTCGATATCATTAAGTTATCAAACTTTACATGTCATTGCTTTGGAGCTTGTTTTAGCCCACACAAAGACTTATCTAACTTACAGACCTTGTTTTCTTATCCATAGATCACAAACCCTTCCGGTTGTTTTATATAGATTTCTTCTTCTAAGTCGCCGTTTAAAAAAGTTGTTTTAACATCCATTTAGTGTACTATTAAGTTATAAATAACAGCTAATAAAATAAGTACCCTAATGGATGTAATTCTAGTGACAGGAAAAAAGGTGTCGAAGAAATCTGTATTTTCTCTTTGTCTAAAACCCTTGGCAACAAGGCGAACCTTGTACTTATCAATAGTTCCATTAGGTTTTAGTTTCTTTTTCAAAACCCATTTACAAATGATTGGTTTGCAACCAGGAGGCAAGTCTACTAAGTGCCAGGTCTTGTTAGATTCTAGAGATTCTATCTCATCATTAATAGCTTCTTGCCATAAATAAACATCCAGAGATGACAAGGCTTCTTGAAGATTCATTGGATCTTCTTCTACATTATAAGTCGTATAATCAGGCTTATAGTCTTTAGCAACTCTTACTCGTTTACTTCGCCTAAATTATGTTTCTACATTGTCGTTGCTTTCTGTTCTTCTTATCACAAGAATGTGACTCGATTATGTGCCCCGACTATTTCTCAATTTGAAAGAAAATTTGTCTTCATAGAATTCAACATCATTTGATTCTATGATCACTTTTTCCTTTAGGTCATAAAACCTATATGCTTTAATGTTTGCTGCATACCGAATGAAAACACATTCATATGCTCTACTAGCAAGTTTAACTCGTTTCGGATCCAGAATTCTGACATAAGTCAGACAATCCCAAGTTCTCAAATAAGACAAGTTTGATTGTCTTTTCTTTAATATCTCATAAGGAGAGATCTTACATTTTGACTTGGGGACTCTATTCAGGACATAGCAAACAGTCAATAAAATTTTCCCTCGCCAGTGAGGTGCAGCACCAGAATTCATCATAATTGCAACAACATGTTCAGTAAGAGTTATATTCTTTCTTTCTATTTTACCATTCATTGCAAGATAGTATGGCGCAGTCGTTTCATGTACAATTCTATATATAAAATTCATTAATAAACTAGAATCATACAGTTTATCTATCACTACAAATTCTTATTATATCGTTTTTAAATTCTTTACAAAAAAGTTAAACATATAAACTTCATTCTTCGTAATGGCGTACAAATCTACCCCAATAGACTGACTAAACCCTGTCTTATTTAAAAGAAAACCAGAAATAATATTCTTTCTAATCTTAGGAACATGCACAATATTCTTTAAGATTAAAGTCTTTTTGAAGGTGAAATTTAGCTCCATGTCTACAATTCCAGCAACATTCACGGTCTAGCCATCTCCCAATAACACTTTCATATCTTTAATATTCGTGTATGTTTTAAACATAACAGACACAACGAGAGACGTAAGTGTCTATCCACCAACCAACATATCCATCAACCATGTTGATTTCAATGACTATAGTAATAAATTGCCCATTAGTCAGGTTGACCTGTGCATTAGGGACAACACCAAGTTCAAGCTTACTTCTACATTTCTTAG